TCCGTTAGCGCAATGTTTTGTTTCGCTCTGTTCGGTGGAGGTCGTCGTTGGGTTTTTTCGGTTTTGGGAAGAATTATTTCGTCGTGGAATATTCCAACAACTTTTGAGGTTTACTCTTGTTGGAAATGGAGCAAATGCAAAGTTTGGAATTGAAAAACGAGTCGACCGGGCGGATTGTGTGCTGTGAATGTGGTACAGTGATAGAGCCGAATTCGGCGAATATGTGCGTGGCGTGTATTCGGGCGAAGGTGGACATCACCGAGGGAATACCGAAGCAAAGTGAGTGCACAGGGTGTTGATTCCGTGATTGTCTATTTACTTGCTTATTTGTTGGGTACATCTTAGTTCATTTATTATAGCGTATGTGATGATGATGATGAATTTGATGTGTAACGTTCGTCGAGTTTAGGTCAATTGACAAAATGCAAATTCTGTGAACGATATCTATTGCCACCGAACGGATGGTTTCATGCGGACTTGGAATCAAAAGAGCTGATGTCACTGGCGTTGAAGAAAATCAAATCAACTCTGGCGAAAGTTTGTTGATTTGTTTAATGTTTTGTTAACTCGTTTGTTTAGTTCGCATTTGATTGATAGCATAAAATGGATAATTTTACTGGCAAATTTAAGGTTCGATTAACGGATGCATCGTTTGTATGGACAGAGCCACATTCGAAACGAATCAAAGTGAAGTTGACGATTCAAAAAGAGATACTCTCCGGTTCAATATTGCAGCAGAGTTTTATTGTGGAATTTGTGGTGTTAAATCAGGTAATGTAAATATTGTCATAACAGTGAAACAGTTATCATTTCGTGGTAATTGTGATCAGATATCACTAATTGTGATCAGTGATCAATCAGATATGAATAGATAATGCTAGTTATCAGTTCATCAAGATAGTATAATAATGAGTTGTGATCAGATATCAGTAATACTGATGGTGAAAATAAACAAATGAGATGTTTCTGAAGATGTGCGATGAATGTCGTCAAGCAGAGGCAAAAGACTTCTGGCGAGCGTGTGTCCAGATTCGACAGAAATGCGATTTCAAGAAGACATTATTCTACTTGGAGCAGCTGATATTGAAACACGGCACTCACGTCAATACGACCGCAGTCAAGCCGATGGCGACTGGCATTGATTTCTTTTATGCAAAACTACAAGATGCACGCAAATTAGTGGACCTCGTGACGGCCATTCTGCCGTGTAAATATCGTTATGCACAGGCGAGTTGTCGTTGAAAATGATCTTTTGGCTTTATTTGTTATTTTTTGGATTAGGAGCGATGTTTTTGTGTTGCCGGATTTATAGTAGAAATGACGATGGTACTGGAGAAATAGTGGAGATGGCGATAGTGGTTATAGTTTGATTACTGTTCACAGCAGCCGTGAGTATGTGGGTATGACAGTAATTAGAAGAGTGAAAGTAATATTCATAACAAGAGTAATGATCTATTCTCTCAGTGACAATTTTGACTTGGAAATTTTTTTGTGTGATCTTAAAATGAAGTTCATTGGATGTATTTATATGTATTTTTTTGTAGGAGTTAGTAACGCATGATTCAAAAAACAACACATTCGATTATAAGCATACGTTTTGTGTGGATATCGTACCGATTTGCAAGGACAACATAGTCTGCTTACCGAAGAAGGTAGCGCAGTCGTTGGGGAATATGAGTGAGCTGGTGGTGTGCTTGAGGATCTCGAATTTGATCACACTGATCGATCCGTCGACACTGCAGCTTGCCGAACTGACAGCGTTAGTTTTAATTATGAGTGATTCGGACAGTTCTGGATGATGTAAGATGCAAATTGTTTGAGTAAAATTATTTCAGTACACAATATTGGCGTGAACCGTTTGAAGCGTTGTGCCAACCGAAGCAGTTGAGTGAATATTACGTGTTGGACGTAGAGGAGTTGTACGACTTGAAACGTGGTGTAGGACACGGGCGAGTGTCGACGAAACACGTTCTGGCGGATGTTTGGGTGGTGCGCAGTAATCAGGTGATAACCACTTTTTCATTTTTTGT